CTTGAGCCACATCCCCAGCCCCTAGCCTGACTTTCTAATGCTGCTGTTTTCTAGGATTCAGTTCTTGTTTTTCTTACATTCTAATTCCGTGCATGCTTTCAATCTCATTTATAAGCATAACTTCAAGTGCCTTCTGAATGTCCCTGACTCCCAGCCATGATCTATCACCCGGTAGGTCACCAAAACCTGCTGATTATTCCCTTAACATCTCTCAGACTTATGTACTTATCTTTTTAACTCAAGATATGCTTTAACCTGACCTAATATATCACTGCAGCTCTACATTGTTACTTTACTCAAATATGTTTGAAAAGTTGATCACTTTTTTCTGTCTCTGCCACTGCTGGGCAGGGCCTGTTCCTACCAATTCTTAGTTGGATCACTGCAATAGCTGCCCCAGGGTATCTCTGCTGTAGTCCTTGTCTCTGCTAGCAGATTTCCAGCACAGTGATTATTTAAAATCTCAAGTCAGTGCATGTCAACCTTTAGCTGGACACTTTATTCAGAACAGAGGCCCAAGTCTGACCTGACTGTTTTTTAACACTCTATTCACATCTCTGCTGTAGTCATGATGGCACCCTTGTGGTTTCTAAAACATTTCCAAAAAACACTCCCACCTCAAGACCTGGTACTTTTTGTTTCATGTGCCTGCAGTGATCTTCCCTGTGTAGCTGCATGACTCACTCCTTGAATTTTTATAGGTCATAGTTTAGTATTTTACTAGAGATCAACCTGACAATCCTTTATATAGTGGTTACTGCTCTCCATCACCCAACCCTGTACTCTCTATTTTGTATTTATTCATAGCCTACAATAGTGTCTGAAACATAGAGACTTTATGTTTGCTGAGCGAATGTACTTGTTGACTGCTTTCCCCTTGTTAGGTAAACACTCATATTGCTGCCAGAATGACCCTTCTAAAATACAGGTCTGATTGTGGCACTCAACAGATTAAAAATCTCTGTTACTCACTGTTCTTGGGATAATATCCGAGTGACTTGCTGTAGAATATAATCAAAATGAGCTCTTTCACCTCTGCTACATATACCTCTTACTCCTCCACGTTTCTAAATCTGCCATTCTCATTTGCATTTTCATGTATTTGAGTGTTTTGTTTCTTCTTTCTGGATTACCCCCCTTCCATATTTTATCGGTCTAAATCTCTATATTTCCAGAAGTTCTAAATTTTCATCCATCCATCCATGCAGGGTACTCTCGCAGAATTTATGGCCTACTTCTACGAAAGCACTCTTATGACTGTACTGTGACTATTTAGTTTTCTGGTTCAAATTTTTCTTGTGTTATGCACTCTTGCCCTTTAAGTACTTAACAATTTTTTTTAATTTAGATTTTTTAAACTTTAGAATATCACCCTGCAGAATTTAATGCCTAACTTACCATGGTGTTGTGAGTGATTAAATGGAAAATATGATGAGAAATAGCACAGTGTTCTGGAAATATATCTTACACTAATGTTATTTTGTTACCATTTTAAGTGTTACCAACACATGAATATAGATTCATGTACCATTATTTATGCTTTCCCCATTACAGTTTAGCATCAAAATCTAAACAGGGAAGGATACCATTTTACTAATCATATTATTTATGACTAACTTCCTTGTTTACAGGTTTGTGGAAATTATATTTGAAGAGCTGCCTATAAACATCTGATCTCTTTAATAATTCCATTTGTAAATTATTTAGCATCTGCATCCTGCCATTATGTAGGGACCATGTAGTTGTGCTAGCTCATTAAAACTGCATTACTTTCGACCCCAGAATTCACCAATGGGATTTTATTATAAACACAATGAAATTTTGATTAGGGTTCTGAGATAAGTGCTTGTCAAAGTAAATACTTGCTATACATGTTGATATGTTACCACAGTGCTGAAAAAAAATAGGCTTTTAGGAGAACAATTATAAGTAGAGTAAAGGAGGGGAAATTATTTGGAAATCCTATAGTAAATTCATAAAATAACTCATAAGTCCAAACATCACTAATAAACTGAAAAGGGAGGCTTATCCAGCTCCATTAAGAAGCATGGGATTAAATCACCATCAGATTGATGTCTTCAAGGTCCATGTTATCTTTAATTATGAACAAGTTCCATAGTACTTAAAGAAGTAGAATGATATAGCCACAACTTCTAGGACTTCTTGAAAACTGATAAACTTTTTTCCTTATGAGTAGATCTTTTCAGCTCTGTCATTCTGTGATTGAGGAACCTTTTTCATTCAAGTGAGTGCCTTTTTTAACAGAATAGGAAAGAATTGTGTTCTTTGTTTCACTTATAAATGTGCAAGATGATTTTACTCTTTTACCTGCTTTGGGAAGACCTTTGTGCATAAATACCTTGAACTGTAGCACATATCCAGGTTTAAGGGTCAAATCTCGAGTTACTGCAAATCGATCTCCATCTGATTTTCCAAATACCATGGCTGAAGGCGTGGTGGCACAAAAGGTTTCATTTTTAACCATTCCTTCATTAGCCAACATCAACCACACACTCATTTGATTCATAGGGTAATCAAACGCTGGTTTCTCATAAAAGTTCAAATAGAAACAACATAAATAAAGCAGAAAAGTAATTTAATAGCTCTGAAAACAAGAAAGGAATTTTCAGTTCATGACATGCACTACTTGTATTTTTAGGAAAATACAGAAGATCCTCTAAATTAACTTTCTTTTGACTGCCATTCACATTTTCTCTTGATGATTTAACAATCAAAAATACTTTGCTGATGTTTATAATCATTTTATAAACACTCTAACCATTCTGCTTGATAACTTGGTTAGACTTTATAGTCCTTTTCACATCCAAATAATCTGTGAGCTAGTAGCCAAGAGAGGTAACCAAAAAATGAAGTTATAAACACTAAAATACCTGGGGTAAAGTTGGGTTCACAACTGGAATAACCTGCTTCTGCTTCTCTGACAGAATGATGATGTCATCTACTGCCCACTGGTCATAGTCCTCCCCAGAGAACTCGGGCTGCCACCAGCGGAACCTGGTGCAAGGGGTCTTAGCAGCAGCTGGAAGCTCCAGATACACAAATCTGCAGAAGAGCAAATCATTTATGGGGAGGAAAGGAAAAGCTGTGTTTTTCTTAGAAGCTGGTGAAATAACAAACAGCAACAGGAGATTTTAGTTTGATATTTTGAAATTCTAAGTTTGGACAGATCAGACAAGGAGGCTTAATGTTGTGAGAAAGTTTAATCCTGATCATGTTTACTTCATTTGGAATGGTATCTTTTGGAGAAGAAGAAAAATATTTCAGCTGCATTTGATTCACCCACTTCTTTTGACTATCAGAAGGTGGCTCATAACTTTTAAAGAAATATCAAGAAAAAACCAGTTCCTTCATAATTATTACATTAATAATGGTAATTTTAAAATTATAAGGGTAATTCTTACCAGGGAAAAAAATCTAAGTATGGTTGGTCTTTGTGAACATTTTTTTTTTCGGTACCAGGGATTGAACTCAGGGGCACTCTATCACTAAACCACATCCCCAGCCCTATTTTGTATTTATTTAGAGAGAGGGTCTCACTGAGTTGCTCAGCACCTCACTTTTTGCTGAGGCTGGCTTCGAACTTTTGATCCTCCTGCCTCAGCCTCCAGAACCGCTGGGATTACAGGCATGTGACACCACATCTGGCTCTGTTAACATTTTGATGTATATTATCCTACTATGTAATTTATTTTATAGGCATTTACATTTTGGAACAACATTGTATCATAAGTACTTATGTCAGTAAAATTATTTAAGAACAATTTAATGTCTATGATTTTTCATCACTTGGACATGCTAGTGTTTATCTTTCCCTATTACAAATAATTTTGTGGTGGGACTTCCTATACATAAAGCTTCCTCTACACCTTACTTTATTTATTTATTTATTTTTAGTAAGAGTCCTAGAAGTGAAATTATTGGGTCAAGTAAACTGGTCATGTTTAAGGCTCTTGATTTTCTAAATTCCTGTCTGGAAGGGTTATAATGGTTTATGATAATTTGCAGGATGACACAAGAGAGACTGTTTTGCTGTTCCCATGTGGAGACAGCTCTGGATGCTACCATTAAAAAAATTGGCATCGTGACTGTTAAAAAAATGTTATCTTTTCATGCAATGGAAGTTTATTATGATTCACATTTTATTTTTATTAAACATATATACTTCCTCTTTAGTAACATCCACTCATTCCTTTTATTTATTTTTCCCATTATTGTGGGATCTTAGTGCTTTTCTTGACAATTTGTATAAGCTTTTTACAGGGACATTGATCCTTTATCTCATATTTGTTGCAAATACTTTTCCCAATTAGCTTTCCTACTTTTCACATCATATGTGCAATCATTACTAGGGTAATGATGTCCATCTCATTCCACCATATTTCCTGTACCCATGCACCCTCCCCATCCCTCCCTCCCCTTTGCCCAATCAAAGTTACTCTATTTTCCCCATGTCCCCTCACCCCCTTATGGATCAGCATCTACTTATCAGACAGAACATTCAGTCTTTGGTGTTTTGTGATTGGCTTACTTCGCTTAGCATGATATTCTCCAATTCCATCCATTCACCTACAAATGCCATAATTTTATTCTCTTTTAATGCTGAGTAATATATCATTGTGTATATGTACCACAGTTTCTTTATCCATTCATCTATTGAAGGGCATCTAGGTTGCTTCCACAGTTTGGTTTTTGTGAATTGAGCTGCTAAAAACACTGATGTGGCTGTGTTACTATAGTATGCTGATTTCAAGCCCTTTGGGTACAGATGAAGATGTGATAGCTAGTGGTTCCATTCCAAGTTTTGTAAGGAATCTCCATACTGCTTTCCACATTGGTTGCACCAATTTGCAGTCCCACCAATAATATATGCGTGTGCCTTTTCTTCTACATCCTTGACAACATTTATTGTTGCCTATATTCTTAATAACTGTCACTCTGACTGGCATGAGATAAAATCTTAGAGTAGTTTTGATTTACATTTCTCTAATCACTAGAGATGTTGAACATTTTTTCATATATTTGTTGATCAAATGTGTATCTTTTTTTGAGAAGTGTCTGTGCAGGTCCTTAGCCCATTTATTGATTGGACTGTTTGTTTTCTTGTAGTTCTAGATGGACAGCAGCCTTTATTTTAAGTTTTTATTTATTTATTCTAAGTTAAGTTTTTTGAGTTCTTTATATATTATTTGTTGTCTTCTGTATCTCTGAAAGAGATTTTGAACTTTTGTAGTTTTCTTCACAGAAATTCTCATTATTGTTTGTTAAAGTTATTTCTTATATTTATTTATGTATTTGCAACCATGAATGGGGTCTTTTTTACTATATATTTCAACTCAGACTTTCTTAATCAGTTCAGCATCACAGAAACCTGAGAGAATATGGTGGATTCTTTGGCCTCCCATAAATATTCCCATAAATAAAACATTTGAGGTGGCTCACAGTGCCTGGAATCCAGGTTATCTACTTTGGCTTAAACTAAGTATCTCTGGGATTTTGAATGAGCCATTTAATGTTTGTTTATTTACATAGTTGTCTAGTCACTTTATTGAACAAATAATATCCAATTAACCACTAAATTACTTGGAAAAATAATTTATCTTATTCTAAACTGTTGTTTAAACAAGTCTGGCACTGTTACCCCCTCCTTCACCCCCACTAGTTCTACTGGACTGCATCTTGGGGACTCTCTCTAGGTTTTATCTCCTATCCAGGATTCATGACTTTCTCACTAGATATTAAATCTCATTTTGTCCAGGTGTTTCATTTCTGGTTTCAGTCTCTACCCTATGTTCCTTAGATAAAAATATTTTTCATGTTTACTTGTGTTATATATTATGGAGAATGATATTGCCTTTAAGGGACCCAATATTTTGAAAACACAAACTTCTAAACCTTTTACCTGTAATAAAGGTATATTTGAAGTGGTATGTTTAAAATATATTTGATTTGTAAGAGTTTGATCTACATATTTCTCAATAATTGTTTTTCAATACCAGACTCAGTTGTAACATGCAAAACAGGAACAACATTAATATAGTAAAGCTTAATAATCATCAGTGGTCATCATGTAAAAAGAATTTTGCCTTGCATTAAAGTGGAAATATAGAGATTAGAAAAAGAAACACTCTAAAAGTGATCTTTGCATGAATTTTAATATTTATGTAAAATGTAAAGAATAAACACAGAATTTCAAAATACTACATAATTACAAAAGAACTAAATTTTAAAATATTGACTGCCTAATGCACAAAATTATTTTTCTAAACGCTTCAACAGTTGTTGTCTGAATTTTTTTCTCCCTCAGTAACTGTGGTCTGAACCCAGGAGCATTACCACTGAGCTACATATCTAGCCCTTTTAACGTTTTATTTTGAGACAGGGTCTCACTAAGTTGTTTAGGGCCTTGCTAAATTGCTGAGGCTGGCCTTGAACCTGCAATTCTTCTGCTTCAGTATCCCAAGTTGCTCAGATTACAGATGTGGGCCATTGTGGCCCATCTGAAATATTTAATAACACATATTCTCCATCTATAGGATAGGCCAATGAAAATTTTAAGAAAATCTGAACTCTACAGACTCATTCATATATTATTTAGGACTAGTCCTGGATGTAGCCACATGAAAACTTTTAACAACAACAAACCCATCTTGCTCTTGAATCTAACAGTTGAGCATATTTTGTGTTACATATAAAACCAAAACCCAAACCAAAAATCTTCCAATGGAAAAGTGAGCTTGGAATATCCTTATAGCACACTGGGTAAACATGGTCTATCATCTTGCTTTTCTTTTAGCCACCAATTTTTTTCAAAATATTTAAAAACTCCAACATGAATGCAAATGGGGTTTTGTTCCACCAGAACAGAAATGAAGTGAAAGTGAAATGAAATCTTTATATGTTGGGTTATCATTTGTGTTAAATATTTTTGAGTTTGGTTATTTTTGTAACTGTCAGCATTTTAGAAATGCCTCAACAAAAAATGTAATCTTTACCATTCCCAGAAACCACTGGAAGACCCAGTAGGTGGGAGGTTACCTTGGCTTGCTGAAATCTGAGAAGTACATCTCTGCCAGCAGGTGCCACTGGATGCCCCCGTTGTTGCTGTACTGGAGGAGGACGCCCCCCTCTCGGCTGTCAGGTTTGTTGCACGCACCACTCTCTCCGCCTATCTGGATGTAGAACTGGACAAAGTCCACCCAAGAGGTATCCAGATCCCAGCTCACCAATTGTCTTTTCCCAGACTTTCCAAAGAACAATAAAACCACTGTCAACCATTTGAGAGCTCTTTGGCATTTGACTGTTCAGTTCCAAATTCACATGAACATCCTAACGCTATGTAGAGGTGGTTTTGTCCCCAGTTACTACTGGGATGAGCAAGCTGTGCCATTTTGTTGTTCTGTGCTAGCTATAGTAACTGTTCTTGGATATATTTGTTTAATCTCTTCATCACTGATTCCCAGAATAGATTATGAGGCCCTTTGGAATTTCTCATTATACAGAAGGGTATTTGAAAGTTTT